ATTGGCAGCGTGGTGGACCCAGCTAGCAGCATCTTTCATCTTCCTGCTGGCCTTAGCCTCAGCCCCCAAAGGTATCTGCATTTACCTTTCTTCTTTCACATTTCAGTCCAGGATAACAGGAGCTGGTATCCCTGTTAGCACCATAGTCTTAACAGCTTTGTATCTTCCTTTGAAGTGGTTGCTTCAAAGGTTGAAAATTTGTACACTCAAACTTCTCAAAAGCTAAACTGGAACAAAGTTGTCTTGAAATATTTCTTCTTGGGGCCCTCCTTGGTGGCACAACAGGTTAAAGCACATCACAAGGAAGCTAAGCTAGCCATAGCTGCTCCAGCATTCATTTGATCCCCTGCCAGGGAGCTGACCCACATGGCCCAGCAGACTCTTCTGACCCGCCCGCTGCTCCCCTCAGCAGTGTACTTTGTCCATCTGCCTGTTCTGCTTCTCACTCTGTCTCTGGTGAATCCTCTCACTGCCTCTGCACCTCTATCCTGTATCCCAGTTCTGTATGCATAAATACAGAAATCTTTAAAAAAAGAAAAGAAAGAAACATTACACTCCGTTCTTGAATTGGCTTGAGTCAGTCTTTCATGGGCGAGGTAAAGTATTCTTTCCACTCTGCTAGTGTAACTCGACCTCCACTCAATATTAGGAGATATATATCTATGTGCAAGAACTAGCTGCCTCTAAATTTAAGGTAACTAAACCATGATATAGCAACTAAGTTGTGAAGGTTTTAATTATCATTTCATTGAGATTTTATCTATTATCTTTGAATCCTAGTAGTCTAGAATTCCAGTTTTCCTGCTTTCTAGCTAAAGTTAATGTATAGAACAAAGTTCTGTAATTTTACTTCACTTATAAATCAATAATGCTAGCAGGGAGGCTGCGGGGGCACCTAGCCCCCCATACTTTGATGCTCAAAATGAGTTCTGCCATTTATGCTTCAAGACAAATATTACTTTTGTTGCATGGGACTTTCAGTAGAAAAGAACTTGAATAGAGTTAGTGTGCAATCGAGAAGAAAGGATAAATATTTTCAGGTCAAATACCCAAAGTCACCCATCCCCTCCTGGATAAATGCCCAGCCAAACAGCATCGGCCCAAAGCAGGGCCACTGAGTCCTGAAAGCTTGCCACAAGTCTGAAGCCCCTTCTGGTGGAGACCCACAGAAACGGGGCAGAAGGGGTAAAATCAAAGTACAAGTCAGGATAAATGTCACCCATCTATATCTTTTCTCTAAGTGTCTCCTTCAACCTAAGTCCCTGAGACAAGTCCAAGGGCAATAAGCCAGCACAGCTTCTTCACATGTCTCTGCAGAGGCTCCAAGTTGTCCAGTCCTCTCTACAGGATCCTCCTGTCCGTTTTCTCTAGGTTTTCCTTACCTGCTAAGCTCCACCCTTCATTAGATGGGGCAGGGAACAAGCATTCCTTTTTAGATCACACTGTTATGGTAATATCGCTTACCTTGTTTTAGGGTTTTATAAAGTTTATAAACAATATTAAGGGCCCTCCCTGGTGGCACAATGGGTTAAAGTGTAACAGGGTGGTCCCCAGGAAGGGGGGAGGTTCCAGGTTCCCTGCGCCACCCCAAAGGAGGGTGGAACTGAGCAGAGAAAAAAAGGGAAGGAATTTTAGGAAAAAGGAAGCAGGATGGAGAGCCAGAGGGAGACCTTAGGAAGCCACATGGAGCAAAGGGAGACATGTGAAGGAACCATGTTTATTTCTTGGCCCAGGACTGATTGAAGGAGATGTGGGTGACAGACCTGTGTGGAGGTTGACTATGGTAGTGTTTATATTGATTTTGATTTTTCTCTTTTCAACCCAGACTAGTCTGGCTATTTCTAACCTTTTTCTATGGGTACTGGCCAGCAGATGCTTTAGGCTTGTGGCGGGCTTTCAGGCCTTGCTTTGGACCAATCCCTTTTGGGTTGACTTTTGCCCACAAGGGGATGGGTAACTTCAGGTGTTTGATTTAGAAGTTATATTCTTTGTCTTTTTGTCTTTCGTATTATATACTCGCTGTATTAAAGTTCCTTTTTTAAAAAAAGATATATTTATTTATGCATACAGAACTGGGGTACAGGCCAGAAGTGCAGGGACAGTGAGAGCATTCACCACACACAGAGCGGAGAGCAGAACAGGCAGATCTATGAAGTACCCTGCTGAGGGGAGCAGCAGGCGGGCCAGGAGAGGTCTGCCGCACCATGTGGATCACTTCTGGGGCTGGCAGGAATCGAACTCATACAGAAGTGGCCTTAGCTTCTTAGTGCTGTGCTTTAACCCACTGCACCACCACGGAGGACCCTAAAGTTCCTTTTAATTAAAGTCTTATATGTTTTTTCTTGATGTGGCAGATGGCAGAATCTATTTAGAGCAGGGAGGTTTGGGGGTTCAGTGGTGCCCCTCTTCCTGTCCTATAACAAAACCACGTTGAAGATACCACAGGCACTGCAGCATGAGTCCGAGGCCCGGCCAGGAGGGTGACCCACATGGTGTGGCAGACCTCTCCAGACCAGCCCACTGCTCCCCTCAGCAGTATGTTTTAGACAGTCTGCCTGTTCTGCTTCCCACTCTGTCTTTGGTGAATCTTCTCACCCCCCACCCCTGCACCTCTGGCCTGTACTGCGAGGCAGCTCTGTATGTATAAATAAATAAATCTTTAAAACAAATAAGTAAAATTAAATGTTTAATGTACATGTTAGGAGCTCAAGAAATGAAATTCATTTGACAATCAAAGGTGCTTACAAGTGGTCATCCAAAAAATAATTCATCAAATTTTTGTTAAAGAAAACTTTCCTCCTGCATCCAATAAACCTTTGAGTCACTTGGAAGAGGTGACCAGAAGATAGAAAAGGCATAGATACTATCTAAGCTATCCTCAAACAAAATTTAGATGTAAGCACAAATATAACTATTTAAGTTTATTCAATTCTCTTCTAGTAACTAATGCACTGTGATAATGCGTAAAACACATATTAATAGCTTATTTGCTCATGAATACAAAGCATGAAGTATGATGTAGTTTTTGGAGTTGGTAGGCTGAGTACAGGGTCCTTGGGTTCATTCTGGGAAAGGTCTCTCCAACACTCCCCTTTTAGCAGCACGTGGCTAGATTTTCCAAGACACAGAGATATCAGATACATTTAAGGAGAAGGCTTTTTAGAAAAGGAACAGAAAAAAGAAGGATGCTTGCAATGATGCGAGGCAGAAAGAACTGCCCTTGGAGGGGGCAGTGTCAGGTTTTATCTTCTTTCGCTGGGGGGGCGGGGGGGCTCATCTTTGTAGGTGGATGGTTTGTTCCTTAATCCCCATAGCTTCACCTTTAGGTCTGTGTTCTTGACACTCCCTGCAACAGTTTGACACCTGTTGTGCCTCAAGATCTGGTCATTGAGGCCTAAGGGTCTGGGTTTCCATAATTTGGTTAATGGTTTATGCTAATCTCTTCTCCCTCCAGCTCCTTGTATGAGACAGGTTCCTGACCCTGTAGCGTCCTTTCCAGGTATTCTATTCTTATCCTCCATTGCAAGGACATGGAATATGACCAGTCTCCCACATCTATGATGATATTTTTGCTTCTATTTTTGTTTTCTTCCTATTTCCTCCCATTTTAATGAATTTGTGCTCTCTTCACTCACTACTATTTATCTCACTACTATTTACTATTTATACAGTCTTTGTTACACAAACATTTCTCAAAATTCTAACTAGTCAATATCTTTTTCCAGAAGTACAGACCTACTTTTCAATTTGCTTGGCATCTTTACCTGGATATCTAATGGCAACTGAAATTGACTATTCTCAAAACTGCACTAACCCTCTTAGTCCACAAAATTACCACATCCTTCTCAGATTCTTATTTTTAAATTTGAAAGTGAGCTAATTTTGAAGTGAGCTAATTTTGAAGCTTCCTTTCCAGCTACCTTATAATCTAACTAGTTACTCTTAAAGCCTTTGCCTCCCTGTCCTAATTATCTGGCTACCTTTCTACTGAAAGAGTGTTACTGTGATTTTTGTAAAAACCTTTTAACTGGTTTCCAACTTCTAATCTCATTACATCTAGCCTACAAATTATATCGACATGAAGCTTCATCAACAAACAAGCATTCTCCAAATCTCCCACAGTGAAACAGAGCGAAGTAATTACATGCTTGACATCTGATGTTCTCTATCAGATATCCTCATGTTATCATTTGACTCTTACATCTCTATTCTTTTGACACCAGGGTTGCATAAAGGCATGGAACTTACTCTCAAATACTGCCTACTCTTCAGGTTTTGAGGAAGGGCTGGGTTGACCTACACCTTCCTCTTCTCCACAGAGCTGGCATGTCTCTCCTACTTCCCCTCCCCTTTCTGGAATATGCGTGTCCACAACAGTGGAGATAATCTATTCTATTTGTCAGCAAAGACTCAGATTCAGCAGGCAAGACTGAGAGTGTCAGCATTACTTGCGTATATATATTTGCCCAGTTCTGCTGGTCAGGTTTAGGAGGCTGAATGTTTGGGAAAATCCCACTAAGCTAGGCTGGGATTTTCCTTCCAGGTTACTTCAGAGTTAATATTTTAATCTTCATCTGTTTGAATACTTACCTCAAAACTGTTTTCAAACTCAGAGAAAAGAGGGAATTCTAACTGACCACAGCTAACCCTAATATTCTTTCTTGACTACTCCATGCCTTCTAGAAAAGGACTGTATAGACAGGCACTCAAAAAAATACTTATCCAGCTGAATCAAAAGACATAATCAATATGCATAAAATTGATGAGATATAATTTTTTTCGCTGCATATAACCCCATAAGCCATCACTGAAATGCCTTTTTATGGATATTAACAAAATACATTTTGTTCTATACATTAGTATAAAATACTTTTCCTATTTATATTTCCATTTTTATAGAAATTATTGCACATTATATCACATATCAAAAAAGAAAAAAGGGAAAAATATAAGCCTTAAAAATCAGTGAAGAAATCACTAATCTGTCTGTCTGATAACTATCAGCAATCTCGTAGCTCTCGTTTCTTGCCCTTTTTTGGTTTTCTGATTGTTTCTTGACGAATGGTATCATACTCCAGCATGGCCATTTTTGACAGTCTCTTTAAATATTGAGATGATGCTCCAGAGAGAGGATCACTGAAGCAAGACACTGTGAAGAAAAAGTCAGCTATTAAAATTAAATTAAACACACATGAATGATATTCTAGTGAATGATAAACATAGTGCAAGAAAATTTCTGCTCATTGAACGACGTTAAACACAACTAGCTTTCCGATAACACATTCTGTGAAGTAAAAATGCCACTACTTAATGGCACATCATCTCAAAAAAATATTTAATTAAAATATAAACACCTGTAATGCTTATTTTTGAATACATAAAATTAATTGACATTCATACTTTAATTATAAGTTGCCTGTTGATTATAGAACTTGTTTAAAGTATACGGAAACTTAGAGAAAGGATATATCCAAGAAGTTCATGAACATTTAACCTATGAATTTCTGTAGACCAAAGTTGGAAAGCTACTGAGTCAATTCTGACTGCTACCAACAATATTAATAAAGATCTTACTTAGTGATTTGGGGGATATTGTTTGTTTGGACTTCTTTATGTATAAATGTAAAATTATGGAAGTGATGGATACACTAGAAAAAGACAATTAGAATTGTGATTAAAAATAATTTTGTTTAAAATAAACTAATAAGAAAATAATTGTTGCTTACAAATAAAAGATGAATCATTTGATAATCTGAAGGACAGGTAGCATAATGCTGAAGCTGTTGTGCTTAAACCACCAATTCTTTACTGGGGATGATTTTGCCACCCTGAATACATTTGACAATATCTGGAGAAATTTTTGATTGTCACATTTGGAAAGTACTGGCCACAGGACAGAGCCCTCAAAGAATTGTCTAAAATACTAATACTGTTGCCATTGAAAACCTGGTTTAAGTTCCCTCCCTGGTGGCACAACGGTTAAGACACAGCCCTGCAAGCGAGCCACAGCCACTTCAGTGTAAGTTCAATCCCAGAGGTGACCCACATGGCGTGGCAGACCTCTCCAGGCCTCCCACTGCTCCCCGCAGCAGTGTATTTCGTCCACATGCCTGTACTGCTCCCCACTCTGTCTCTGGTGAATCCTTGCACCTCTGATTTGTACCCCAGTTTTCTATGCATAAATAAATAAATCTTAGAAAGAATAAAAGGCCTCTGGTTTAAGAGGAGAGTCATCAAAAGATAATAAAATGTAATTGACAAAAATGGAAAAGTTTTAATAACTATATGGCTCAAGAATCTTTACAACTAATTTTAGATAAAATTATTTCAAGAAATAGTTGAGAGTTTATTGGAGAATTTAAATGCTATACCATTGCATTGCATTATATTAATGCCCTATATAGATCCTCTAGAATAATGAATCAACAACACGTAAAATCTACAACACATAAAAGTAAGGAATGAAGCAGCAGTAGTTATATAACTATCAGGGCTGCTAGAACATTCTCTATAGGCTTTTAGACATTAAAACGTTTAACTACCTAGATAAATAGATTTTTAGTGTCTATATTTGAAAAACAAAATTTTTATCAAACATATCAGAAATGTGGAAATGGGAATGTCTGATTTCAAAAGGTCAAATGACAAATTCATAGTCTATATATGGTGGAAATATACTTTGGTGCTTCTTAGTCACCATGGATTAAAGAATAAATAATTATTAAGAGCAGTTTTTTGCAGCTTATACTGCTTGCTTATAAATGAGTCTGTAAATGGACGTTACATGATATAGTTTTCACAAAAGTATGAATTAGAACATAAGGTTGGAAAGGAAAATTAGAAGATAGTAAAGGGTTAAATACCAACATAGTTTATACTTTAATCTTTACATCACAAAATATCATTGATTATCAAGAGAGTGATCTGAGTAAAGCAAGAGTTTTAAGTTTTTCTTACCATGATGAAGGATTTCAAAGGCAAGAGACCCAAAACAAGAAGACCAGTTTGCAAACTACTGCAATGGCCACATTAGAAATAGCCCAGGATATTCCAGGATCCCGAGATAATATAGGTGTGTGAACACCCATCCACTAATCTTATAAAATAAACAAAGCTTAAACAAAGCAATGGTAACTGAGTCAGTAGAAATAAAGCAAGTTAAAAAAAGAAAAGATATGTGACATCCTAATAAAACATATGGTAGGGATAAAGAGTGTACCGCTTACCTTTTGATTTCTCTTGAAGTGATACAGCAGTGCATGTCTCTTTTATCTTCTTTGTCCTAAAAATGATATATTATCATAAAGCACTTTTATATAAATGCAAAGAACATTAACCTTTTAAAATATAAATATAGGCAAGAAGCATACATTCCATGAAACTTTTTGAAAGATATCACAGGGAAATTAAAAAAGGCATTAAAGAAAGGAAACACCTTCCATCATAATCCAGCAGAGAGAATTATGAACCAACTCACTATCTTGGTTTTTGTTAACAAATCTTATTCATGGATGAGCGCTATAGTTATATCAATGTTATATTAATTTATCTCTACCTTAAATCACTAATCATGATCCAGGCAGTGCTAAGAAAGAGAATCAAAATTAGATTAAAAGGGAATCTGAGGTACTAAACACTATCACTTACTTATGTACTTTTTTACCTACTAAGTCATCACAATCTGAGCTTTGTCATCACTAACACATTTTTCCCAAACAAAGTAGATCTGGATTATAATTAGGTTCTTGGGGGAAATATATATACCTACATCTGCAGTGGGTGACATAATCCATAGCAAATACAGATTTATTGTAACAATAGTAAACTGTAGAAGTTAGTCAAAACTTTCCTGATTCTTCTCCTCTAGGATTATTTTCAATGAGGCAATCATGTGTTAGCAAAGTATGCCTTAAGATTCACTGAAAAAGGTTGATCACTTACAAAAATTGAAAAAAACATCAATTTATCAAATTTCAAAATAAAATGCTCATATTTTATCTTACTTTTTTTTAGGTGTACATAACAGGTACACCTTTGTGACGGAGAGGTGCCATTTTCCTCACCCTATTTCACCCTCATGCAGCTGGTTGGATTACAGATCCCAGTATGTCATGAATCTGACTTCCTGCCTGGGGGCTGCAGGGCCGAGGGGCAGAGTCAAGCAGCCATGCTCAGCTTATAACTGAGCACGTGTGTGCTCTTGCTCTCGTGCTTCTCCAGCTTCAACGTGCACCATGGGACTTGGGGGATGAAAAAGGAGGAGAGACATGTAGAGACCCTTGGAATAGACATGTAGATGAGAGGCACATGGTAGGCTGCTTCTGGTCCTTAGCAAAGACAATGGCATTACCTACACTTCATGTTGGAGTCTGTGCTACGTTTTGAATTTTGAGTCTCTCCTTCTGGCCCTGCTCTTTAGGATCTCTCTCACTACTTTCTTGTGGGTTCTTGCATAATGTAGCCTAGACTTGTGGCAAGCTTTCTTTCTGCCTCAGAGTAGCCCCACTTTGGGTCAAGACTGTGTGGCTGGGCATTTGCCCACAAGGGGATAGGTAATTTTCAAAGTTTTATGGGGAAATTACTATTTCTTTTCTCACTATGCATACCAATTCCACTAAAAATCATTCATATGAAGAGACTGCTTCCTTTGCCTTTGTGCAGTAAATGACCAGACCCCTTTTCGAGCACATACTCCTTAACAGTCTGGGATGTGTGTGCCCCCTCAGATGCATGCTAACAATATAAGGAGGAAAAAGGGAGTAAGGGCTTGTACACAAAATGAATAAAAATGAGTACTTGCCTGCTTTGCCAAGAGTGGTCTTTCATAGGATGTTGTGCAATATGCAGAGGAGAATAAAATACTTGTTGGCAACTTGACATGTTCTCACTAGAATGGCTAAAATAAAAAGACATTAGTTTCAAAGACAGACACGAACTAACGTTTATTTACCTTTGCCAAGCACTTCATGAAGTACTTATGGTACTTGATGGCACTTAACTGCAACTTTTCCACTATGAAAAATACTTGTTATAACATGAATATAATGTATTCAAATTATCCTTCACTCACTTAAGGACATGTACACTCAAGCCAAAGTAAAACACTGAAGAATCGTTTCCTACATAACCAAATTTCAAATTGAAACAGTCGGTAGTAAAATAAAGACAAAATTAAAGTTTCAATAGGTTGATTAGGAGGTACTTTGCAGACTTCCAGCCTCTTTTGGAGGATCATATGCATTGAAAAAGGGAACAAGACCAGTCTATATTGATCCAAAGTCCACTGCCGAGGTAACCCTACACATCCTTACCCACCTTCTCTTCAGAAGACACTGTGACTCCCCATGACAATGCTATAGCTGCATGCCCAGGGTACAGGTCTTAATAATGATGGAGACCATTATTCTTAAGTAGCTTATTTTATACACTTGCTCACCATGGCCCCTCCTGTTTCTACTTTCCTGACTTTTCTCCTCTTCACTGCTACAACTTACTCTACTAGCAACTGACTATTTCTTTCCACTATCTCTGATTTTGCCTCATTTCATTACCATCTCACTGCAGAATGAGCAATTTTGCCTTTTAGAAATAAATAGCTTGGCAATCTACCTTCGGAATAACATTTTTAAAATGTTGGGAAAGGCTTTGCTGTTGCTGCAGTGTTGTTTATAAAACAAAAAAATCAAAGAAACTAAAAAAAATCAACAATAAAGCATGGCTAAGTAAAGTATGGCTTGGCATTAAAAAATAACAGTAAAGACTATTTCAAGTTTATGTAATGATATAAAATATGTATTGTTATGTTAATAGACTAAAATAAAAAAATTAAGTAAATACACTAAAATCACAACTCAAATAAAATCAATGAATATGAAGCATAGAATGGAACACCCAACAATAAAAATGAGTATGTTGGATTCATATCAAGTAATACCAAGTAATTGTTTTTCTGGTTTTTTTCCCCAAATTTTCTGCAAAGTTCTTATTTATTTTCATAATTTAGTTAAAAATTATCTGCAACTTTTCAGTTTCAGTATGTTTTTTCTCTTTATTACCAGAATCTCCAGTATTTTAACATTAATAATACTAGTGAAAACCTCAAGAAATATATTCTGAATTTTAATACTGTATGCTAGGTATAGTTGGATGACCTTAAGCAATTATGACAGGAGATAAGAAGATATAAATCCTCCCAAAAGAAAGTTGCAACTCAGACTAATCTAAATACCTCGTCTCTTTTTTTTTATAATGGCAGACTGAACAAATGCATTCAATAAATAATTTCAATAAATAATGATAAATAAACCAAAGCAGAAACCAAATAGAATGTGAAATAGTCTTATTAATTCACATATCCTTTTGGAGAAAGGGGTTTTCTTTTAATGGTTTGTCAATCCGTTTGATATACAGTAGAACAGTTCTTTATAGTAATGTTATTAATTGCCAGTATTCAAAGTCAGTGGGATTTCTCTGGCTGATGAATTCACTATGAATTCATTTGTGATGGTCATTGCAGGGTCTTCATTAGGCTGACATCTCATCCAGAATCTTCTCCCACACTACTTCAAACTACACATGAAATACAAGTTTCTGTGTTCAGAGTTTGGAAACCTATTAATATTGCAGAGTTCATTTAGTTTTATTGCTAAAAATTCCAAGATTCTCATGGGCTATCTACACAAGGTAAATAAAGATGTTTTTAAAGGAAGGAAATCCTAAATCCATTCTAGTAATACCACTTGAAAACAGAAAAAAAAAAAAAACGCTTCTCAAAACTGAATAATCTCATAAACTTTGATTTTACAAAGTTAATCCTTTCTTAAAAACAAATTAGTAGGAAGGAAGTAATTAAATTTACGAGTCAGAAAAGTCCCTTCATTACAAATCAATATTCAGCAAAAGAAAATTGAATAGAAACAATCTACCTGAGTGCAGGCATCTCAGGATCAGCATGCCTCTTGTGAACCTTCAGTGGAGATGAACTTGCACTTTTTTGGTAATATGGTAATCCAGGTAAATATGGCATTTTGATACATTCTTTGAACTCCTCTAGACCAAGTGCTGTGGTGTATTCTAATTTAAAATATTATCATCATAATCTTTATTATCTCTTGATTAAATGTATACAACCTCTTTTACTAACGAAAATGCATAATTTATATACTGAGTCACTTATTTAGTAAAGAAAATTAACAATTCTTATTTATCTAGCTCTTCCCCCGAAAGATAGCTTTCCATTCCTAGTAAGGAAGGACTTGATTAAAGGGCTGGTTAATAATTAGAATGAGGGAAAGGACATCTTCACAGATCTCCTGCAGCTATGACTGTTTTCTGCTTTCATTATTTTGTTTTATTAGAATTCCAAGAATATTAGATACTTTCACATTAAAACCATTAAAAAGCACTTTTAAGAGGTTTATGTTATATGCTACTTTATAAGTTTTCAACTCCCCACTTTTATGCAGACAATCAAGAGGCTTATATACATATCCATCCGAGCCACATATGAAATGAATTCTATTTCAGGCATTGACTTAAATTTTCTTCTATCTGCAAAAGTTCACACTAAATCCAGAAATAGCAATACTGAAGCACCAAGATTGCGTCTTCTGCTGAACTTACATATTTCTAGACAAAAAGATTGTCAAATTATAAAACACACACACACATACACAACAAGCCAGCTAAGCTCTTCAAAACAAAGGCAGTAAATGGCAAAAGAAAATTAAAAGATTAAACATTTGGGTAATCTTTATACTAAACATAATTGTTTTTACAAAAGAAATCCTAGAAATCTGATTGCAGAGTTGAGGCTATCAGAGGAGGAGCTTGAATGGATGGAAGGAAAGTGGGGAGAGAGCCCAGTGGACTTGGGGGAGGCTTGATGGTAGGTGAAGTATGACAACGTATGTTTGGAGAGAAAGGAATTTATACCCCTAAATCATATGAAGTGTTATAATCCAATGTTACCTCAATCAGAATAAAATAGTTTTAAATGTTTTCTACTAATTTTAACAAAAATAAAAATATTTAATGGGATTGGAGTGATAATAAGTGCTTAAAATGTTATTTTGTAACCTTTGTTTTTCCTCCTTTGGAAAAAAAAATTTTCTCCTAATCAAAAAAATATATAGATATTTCTCAGCAACTATATTTGGGAGTTGTCGGGCAAACAAATTAGTAACTTCTGAGTATCTTTAATGGAATCAAGTGAAAAGGCAAATATATATAGCAACATACTCAAAAACAGGTATGATAAAATAGTTTTAAAGAGATATATCTCCATTAATTAAGTTAAAGACAGAATTGAGAACACATAAGAAACACAATCCTAACCAAAAATTAAAGGGGGAAGCTATTAATATACTCACATACATGTATCAAAATTCTCAAACTAGTTTTTATTGAGCAACTATAGAATGTAAGATACTTTCTTTGAGAATCATTAAAACAAAAAGATGCTGTTAAATATTTGAGATTCTTAAAATATAAAAACTAACCAGAGGCATTTAAAAACAAACACTATTTATGAATAGAACTATGATCCAACATTGTTCTGAAATTGAGTTGTATTTAAACTTTATATCGTGCATTGCAGTCACATTATTTAATTTGCTTTCATTTGTTTTTCTATAAACCTAAGACATTATCCTTATATAAATGCTACAGAAATTACAGAATTTCTCTTCACTGCTTTAGAAATATAGGGAAATTTAAGGCATTGTTTCTGTTTTCTCAAGTAAAATAAAAATGAAGTTACCTTTCTCCATCTTTTGTGTCTCTAAAACTGCTTTCCTCCAACTACTCTCTAAAAAAAAACAATTCTCAAATGCATTTCTGGTGATGTCAGGAATCTCAAATTTGATGTCAGGAGATAGCAATGACATTTTTTCTTCTTTCAACAGTGTGGTTGAGAGTGGGGTGCTGCTCCAAATTCAGAACACAAAATACAAAAAAAAGGTTATTTCAGAGATGAATATTTTTAATTTGTTTTCTATCATACAGATTAAAAACTAACAAAGTTACTGATAACATGCAAATTCATATTCTTTGAATGTTAAAGCAATAGGTTTTTAAGAGTATAACTAAAATACATTAGTAAGAATGCTTTTCTTTCAAGTATACTTTGGATTCTTTCAAAATTTATGTTACCAATATTTGGAAATAAAAAACAAAAAACCTGGAAGTTCAATCTCAAGTTACCATGTCGAAAGTAATAGGATGCTTTTAAGTTTCTCAAAATAGTATTGTACACCATGATGAACTGGGATTTATTCTGGGGTGCAAGGATGATTCAACATACAAAATTCAATGTGCTGCACTAGGTTAAAAAAAAATGAAGGGTGAGGGCCCTCCCTGGTGGCGCCGTGGGTTAAAGCACTGCACTAAGAAGCTTAAGCCACTTCCGCATGAGTTCGATCCCCATCTGCCTGGGAGGTGACCTACATGGCGTGGCAGGCCTCTCCTGACCCGCCCGCTGCTCCCCTCAGCAGTGTACTTCGTTGATCTGCCTGTTCTGCTCCCCGCTCTGTCTCTGGTGAAGCCTCTCGCCACTGCTGAGCCTCTGGCCTGTACCCCAATTCTGTACGTACAAATAAATCTTAAAAAAAAAAAAAAAGGGAATAAAATACCGGGCCCTCCCTGGTGGCGCAAAGGGCTAGTAGGACCCACACAGCACTGCAAGCTGGTCTCAGGTGCCTCAGGGCGAGTTTGATGTCCTCCGCCCCGGGGTGATCCACAGGGCACAGCAGACCTCTCCTAGCAGGCCTACTGCTCCCCTTGGCAGTGTATCTCTTCAATCTGCCTACTCTATGCTCCCCACTCTGTCTCTGGTGAATCTTCTTACTGTCCCTACACCTCTGGCTTGTACCCCAGTTCTGTGTGCATAAATAAATCTTAAAAAAAAAAGAATAAAGACTTAGGAATTAACCTAATTATATGAGTGAAGGACATGTACACTGAAAACATAACACTGATGAAAGAAGTTGAAGACACAAATAATGGAAAGACACCTCATGTTCATGGATTTGAAAACTTAATATTGTCAATATATGCATACTACCTTAAGAGCCCTATGTATTTAATGCAATCCTTATTAGAATCCAAATACCATTTTTTAAATGATTTATTGATTTATTCATACAGAACTGGGGTACAGACTAGAGATGTGGAGGGTGATAGGATTCACCAGAGACAGAGCAGGGAGCAGAACAGGCAGATCTACGAAGTAGACTGTGGGCGGGTCAGGAGAGGTCTGCCGCACTATGTGGATCTCCTCCCGGGCAGGCGGGAATCCAACTCATGCGGAAGTGGCTTTAGCTTCTCAGTGCAGTGCTTTAACCCGCTGCGCCACCAGGGAGGGCCTAAATGCCATTTTTTATAGAAAGAGTGAAAGTAATTTAAAAATTCATATGGAAGCAGAAGGAACCCCAGATAGCCAATAAAATCTTCAGAGCAGCAGAGATGGCACCTCCTGTAAAACCCTGCAGGTCCTACCCAGACCAGCAGAGGCTTCCAAACTTTCTGTGGGATCCATTTAAAGAAATGGATGAAAACTAAAGATGTAGAGAAATAAGACCTTTGCACATTGTTTATAGAAATGCAAAATGGGGCAGCCATTATGGAAAACAGTATTGAGCTTTCTTTAAAAAATTAAAAATAGACATGGGAACAGCCCAAATGCCCCAAAATGGATGACTAGATTAAAAAGATGTGGTACATATACACAATGGAATATTACTCAGCAACCAGAGAAAAGAAACACATGTCTTTTGCAGCAACATGGATGGAGCTGGAAAAGATCATGCTTAGTGAAATAAGACAGAAAGAAAAGGTAAAATACCGGATGGTTTCTCTCATAGCAGGAATATAACGGAACAGGTGAAAAAATAATGATAATGATGAACAGCTACATACCAGAAACATTTTATGGGGGTGAAGTGGGGAATGGGATCAAAAACAATGAAGGGAGGGTAATGCACTGAACTATGGTGATGGCACATGGGTGATTTGGTGATGGGAAACCCAAGGGGATTGCAACTAAGATGGAAAATGCACAAAAATATGTAAAAATAAACTATTACTAAAAAACAAAATCAGGAACATGAAAAAAAAATATATAACTACCATATGATCGTAATCCCACTTCTGGGGATTTGTCCCAAAAGATTTGAAATTAGAATCTCAAAAAATACTATCAATCCCACAGTCATTGCTACACACTTCACAGTGGCTAAGATATGGAAACAAAGAAAATACTCATCAACAGTGGAACGGATAAAGAAAATATATACAGATATATAATAGGGTATGTATTATTGTAACAGTGTAATCTAAAAAAGAGATGTTCTGTGTTCCTGACTCACCTAAGGAAGGGCGGAGATGATCAGTGAGGGTAAACTAAAATGGTAGTGGGAGAGATTTAAAGAGAAGACTTAGAGGAGGCATGTAGAACAGAGACACGTGTGAAAGAGAAGTTGCACTTGCTTCTTGGCCTTGGACTTGTACCAGAAACTTGGGGGACATGGAAGGAGACACTTGCAAAAGCCATAGATGAGAGACCCCTTGGAAGGCTGACAGTGGCAGCCTTTATCTTGACTTTGATTTTGTTCTTCCTTTCAGATTTGCCTGGCCATTTCTGGCTCCTTCCTAAGGATCCCCACCAGAAGATATTGTAGCCTGCGACAAATTTTCAGGCCTCAATGGCCCCGTTTTGGGCCAACCCTTTTGGTTGGGCATTTACCCACAAGGGGATTAATAACTGGGCGATTCATTAGGAAACTATATTCTTTCTCTTCTCTCTATGCAGAATAATTATATAATGATTTCTACTGAAGGTTTTGTGCACCAACAAAATTTATTCATGTTTTGTCTTTAAGCAGTGGATGGCAGAATCATTTAGAGTAAGCAAGTGTGGGGGTCTTAGGGTGCCCCTGAGTTTGTCCTCTAACAATACTGTTCTACAATAAATAAGTAAATGAAAGAAATCCTGACATATGCAACAACATGGTTGAAACTTGAGAACACTATGAAACACAAGTGAAATAAATAAGTCACAGAAAAACAATTATTGCATGATGCCATTTACATGAGGTATCTAAAAGAGTCCAACTGATAGAAACATAGACTGGTTGTCAGGGTCTGGGTGAGGGGAAAGTGAAGAGCCACTGAGAACATATAAGGTTTCAGTTATGCAAGATAAGTAAATGTTAACCATCTGATGTACAACATTGTTCCTATAGCTAACAAAACTGTATTGTACAATTAAAAATTGAGAAGGGGGCCCTCCCTGGTGGCACAGCAGGTTAAAGCACAGGACTAAGAAGCTTAAGCCACTTCCACATGAGTTCGATTCCCGCCTGCCCCGGAGGAGATCCACATGGTGTGGCGACCTCTCCTGACCTGCCCACTGCTCCCCTCAGCAGTGTACTTCGTCGATCTGCCTGTTCTGCTCCCCACTCTGTCTCTGGTGAATCCTCTCACCCTCTGCATCTCTGGCCTGTACCCCAGTTCTGTACGAATAAATAAATAAATCTTTAAAAAAAAAAATTGAGAAGGGGCCCTCGCTGGTGGTGCGACCGACCGGTTAAAGCACAACACTGAGAAGCTAGAGCCACTTCAGCATGAGTTCATGGCACGGCAGACCTCTCCTGACCCACCCGCTGCTCCCCTCAGTAGTGTTCTTCATGAGCAAGCCTGTTCTGCTCCTCACTCTGTCTCTGGTGAATCCTCTCAACTTCTACCCCTCTACCCCTGCACCTCTGGCCTGTACTCCAGCTCTGTATGCATAAATAAATAAATCTTTTAAAAAGTTGATTGAGAAGATAAATTTCATGTTATGTGATCTTCCCACAATAAAATATTTTAAATTTAAATTATAATCATTAGATCTGCCACAATCCAGCAATTCCTCTCCTAGGAATTTACTCAAAGAACACAGAATCATTAATTTGAAAGGAAACCTGGACTTCTATGTTTATGGCAGCACTATTTATAATATCTGATATGGAAACAGCCTAAATACCTAAAAACAGATGAATGGATCACGAAGATGTGGTGTATATATGCAATGGCATACTTTTCATTGATATTGGCGGCAATATGGCTGGAGCTGTAAGGGATTATGCTAAGCAAAATAAGCAAAGGAGAAAGACAAATACTTAATGCTGTCACTTATATGTGAAAATAGAGAAACCAAACAAAGGAAGAGACAAAGACAAACTTTAAAACCAACCCTTGAAAGCTGACCGAGAGGCATCCAAGAGGTTAAGGGGGAGGGGAAGGCAAGCAGAGGAGTGAGAAGGAGCGAGACTATGCTGGAGGATTATGGGTATGCTGGTGGTGAGAGAGCTATGGTGGCCTCACCTGCAGGGAGAAATCCTATATCGTCAAATATTAGCAATGATGTAAGACAATGGTACTTCATTAATTTAGAAAGTTATTTTAAAAATAAATAATTAGCATTTGTACCTGAAAAAAATACTTTCTGTGTTCTATTAAAAAATATAGTCATGATTTTTCAAGATAGTCATGACTTTTATTCTAAATATGTACACAAAAGAATAGTTAATCTTGTAGCTGACTAATTTACTATAACTTCAGTCAATCACACATGCTAAGTGTCTGTTACGTAAAGGCAATACTGAACTCTGAAGAGAACCCCGAGCAAGACTGGACTTCTACTCTCATAAGGATGATAACAATCACTGCCATTACAATTAATAGTATGTCCATTCTTTTATGATCCTTGCTGGTCATTTTATAATCCTTTTCTCTGATCTTCACAACATCTGATCACTATTGCAAACCGCACAGTATAACTTTACATTTTCTAAAAGTCACATTGAAACAGTAAAATGAGATTACTAGCAGATCCTTTATCTTTCCA